ATTAATCGAAAAGCGACTAACCACGATCCCGACAAAAGGATGAATGACAATACCATATATGCAGTACGAGATAAAAGAAAAAACGTGATGATGCACTGTTATCTGTTATCTGTTCCTTCGTTATTTAAATAGGACCTCCTAATTTTGAGATCAATTCACGAATCAGAAGTAGAGAGACGGTTTTATTTTCATAGAAATGATACTGGGTAAGGATCAACATTTTTCGAATCAATCAAATTTCAATGGATTTGTATTCAAAGCAGATGATCAATCTATATTAGTTCCTTGTTTTCCGTTGAGAACTTAGCGAATTTTTATACTTAGACAACCAACTTTTCTGGATTCGGTTCTATATTCACAGTTTTTCGCATGATTTTCATGTTAGAGTCCAATTTCATAACGCTTTATAGAGATCTTTTACTCGAAATAAAAATTTTATTTGTCAGAAGCGAGGGTGTGAGGTGTGGATTGGGTGTAAGCATGGGTGTAGGTGTGGGTGAAGTGAACATCAACATCCCTACCCACCCACACCACACCCTTTGTGCAAAAGTTGGTCGAAAACGACAAAATTGTCGCATATTTTGAACTACAGAAAAAATTAACATCAGCTCTGGTGCGAAAAATGTTGATCCCCATCTTCGTCACTTCGCGGTGCCCCTGATTGGAATACAAAATTTTAGAACGTACAGAACTTCAAAACATGAAAGTTGGCTAGTGCTCGTATTTACTAAAATAGAACATTTTTTGGAAACCAGCCTGTAATACTTTTGGTTGGTGTAGATGAATTCAGATATATGACATCCAAAAATTCAGAATGTACATTTGTATTCAGTTTCAGATTAATGAGTAATACTTTTTGTTTTTCATTACTATTGTTTAACATTATCTTTAATGCTATCAATGGCATGCCAACAGTTCCAAAAGGTTATTTATTAGGAGCAACGTATGAACTTGGGCCAACATCAGATAAATTATACAGAATTAATCCATTAACTGGAGAGTTTACGCTATTTACTCTTTTGAATGATTACAAACCTGGCGATGTTACCTATGATCTTATTAATAAAATGTTCTATGTTTTTGTTAGTGAAGCAGCAGTAAGGCGAGAATCATCGATGTCATTGATTTTGGTTAATCCATTCAATGGTACAAAACAATACTGAAAAATTACTACGGAAAATTATGCTGAACTATTTGGTTTACGTGTCGATAGTAGTACAGGCAAATTATATTCATTCCAAATGTCAGGTGCAGGAGAAAATCCTGTAAGTATCGTTCAGATGGATCGAATTAATTTTATAGCTGCACGGTGGGTAAATATTACCAAAGCTGATGGTGTTTCACCTGATTCAATGACAATCTTTTATAATTCAACAAATCATCAATATTTTGTGACAATAGTGTCTGGTCTCAAAGATATTCTTGTTGGTATTGATTTAATGAAACAAAAAATAATAAATCGAATTTCAAATTCTGATTTACCATCCTATTTATGTTATGATAATAAAACGGATGCTTTTTATGGTATGCAACGTTCTATAAATAAGCGTGGCTGTCGTTTGGTACGTTTAAATCCTTATAATGGTACAACAGACGTTTTATCAGACAATTTCAATAATTAAAAACCATCAGCTGAAAATTGCTATGAAGGATATTATTTTACAATGATTGTTTTGAATTCAGAAACACAGAAAATACTGACATTTGATTTAAACAATAATGGTAAATTAATATCGAATAAACTGGGAAAAGAATATTTATGTTCATTAGCATTTATTCCCACCTAGTAATGACTATTTGATGGCATCCCAAAATTTTCTCTAATAAATTTGAAGTTCTTCATTTCTGAATAAGTCATTCTTGCAGGAACTATGCAAATTTTTTTATGCACGGTTACAATCATTTTTCCTTGCTCAGAAGCAAATGGAAGTTGGAGGATGTGGGTGTACGTGTGAGGGTGTGGATGTGGGGTGTGAGTAGTTGTGGATATTATTCTCGTTCTCACACCCGCACCCTTTTTTCTCCTGTCTTTTAAATAATTCAATAATAATTTGATAATAGAAAAATGAACTTTCTTTCCATTCATTTAGACAACACTGCATTTTTCTATGTTATATGTTTATTTTCCTTGAAGATTTTTAAAAAAACGTTTTCTGCCATACACTTTTTTTTGGTATGATTCGTTAACTAACCATGTCGATTTCATGTTCTCATAAGTATCAATTCGTTCTTCCAGACCGATTACATCTATTCATAGCAGTGTCTTAGGTTTTAGTATAAAGTTTATAAAATGATGCACTGTCCGTCTTCTACAAATGCATCATATTTCGAGTCTTGTTAGCTTTTTTAGTCTGATGACTTCCCGCAGAGCTCTTGTAACGAGTATACAGGTGAAATCTATTTTTCGAACGCTACTTCAACTAAGAAGTTATCAGTATACATCAAAACGATAGTGAGCAACTACATATTTATTTTTACAGTCAAATATCTCTCACAGTCACTCATTTACTGACTCTTACCGAATTTAAGTGGACAAATTTAGTTAAGTAGGTTGAATGCCAACTTGTTTGACATGATTTCACGCACCACCATTCTAGAGAATCTCATAGGCAAGCATAGTTCAAAGCTGGATGAGATTCGATGTATATTCTAGTTTATTTTGATGTGTCAAGTTATTCTTTGATTATTTTGAAAATTTCAGTTATGAATAACAACCAAAGTTCGAATGCTACGGAAAATATTTCAGTCTCCAGCACTGAAATCTCTCTACCACGTACTGCTCCCTTTTGGATTCTTCTTCTATTTGATATTCCATCCACAACTTGTGCATTTTTTGTTCTCTTCTGTATCCTTACTGGTCGAAGCTTACGCTCTAACATCAAGAATCATGTTCTCGTTATTTTATTGCTTTTTGGCCTAGGTTCTCAATTAATTGATGTTCCTTTTTATCTTAATTTTATCGCTCATTCGAGCGTTGTTCCATCAAATCAATCGATTTGTCTCTTGTGGTGGTTTATGAATATTGGTATGTACGATGAAGGAGCCATACTTATAGCTTGGACTGCTTTTGAACTGCATATTATCGTATTTCATCATCAATGGATTTCAACAAGAAAGAGACGGATCATAATACACTATTTCCCATTACTTTTTTTAATCCTATATATTTTTATATATTATATTTGTGCCATTTATTATGTTCCTTGTGAAAATGCTTACGACTACACATTGTCACTCTGTGGTGGATTCCTATGCTATGCATATGATTCGATCATTGGGTATGTGGGACTGGATTGTCAATATTGCATCACCAACATTTCTCGAAGCATTGCTGAGTTTGGCTTTCCTTTTTCGAGCCCTCTGGCAGAAGCATCGTTCTCATTTACCAATCCAATGGCGCAAGCACCGCAAAATGACAATACAGCTCATGTCTCTATCTTCTCTTAACATGGCCTTCAACGTTCCACTCAGTATTATTAACATCGCTTACTTTTGTGGTTTATCAAATGATATTGGAGTCGAAGCGACCCAGTATTTCACATTTCTTTGTTATTTTGTCATTTTTCTCGTTCCTTTGATTTGTCTTGAATCGATGAGTGGTGTTACGAAAACTTTTTTCGAAAGAATACTTCGTCGACGACGGCTATTAATTCAACAATTTAAGGACACGGTCAAACCTGCAAATTTCAGTTTAAACACAACCATACGACATTGAACAAAGCATTTTTAAACTATATCGATGTTGTCCTTTTAAAAATCAAACAACGTTGTGACTAATGAGAAAAAACAATTCTTAAAAAAATAAATCCAATGTATTTCTGTTCTGTTGTATTGTGTTGAGAAAATAACATAAAATTTTGATAATCCTATGTGCATTGAGTTTTGAACAATCTAACAGTTGCTCGGATTTGATGAACAAACGTCATGGAATACGACAGTCGAAGTTTAGTGAACTGAGAATGTGATAGGAAAGAAAGTGTGTTTTTCACATGAGTCTGTATTGTATACCACTGATTTCTGATGGATCGATTTGAGTATCACTATGAAGAGACTAATTACAAATCTGTTGGCTTTTTTGATACAAGGTATATAATAAGCTTTGAGAAAAGTTTGAGGACATGGGAAGATATTTTTTCAGTAGAGTTTTCTTGATGATAATGCAAAAGTTATTTGATTGGAAACTATCAGCTAGTTCAAATCTCAAGAATTTTACTCAATAAAGTAATGTGCCGGATTTTTAGTAAAGCGTTTCGATCATTATAACTACTTTACTCCACTTGATATAGATTTTTCTAGCCTTCACTAATAAGTTGTGTGTGTCTGAACAAATAATCTCACCGATATCCTCGAAAATCATTGTGCTGTAAGTTTGATACAATAATCATACAGACTCTTCCGGCTTTGCGTGTCTTACTTTGTAAAGAGTTATGAAATATATGTAAGATTGTCATGAAAATTGCAGATCTATCATAGATTTCACTTTAGATTATGGAGAAGATTTGGAACAAAATATTTTGTATACGTTACATTGTAGTCGTTACTTTTGTCTCGTTCTCTAGCTTGACATAGATCATAACAATTAATGAACGTCATACTCTCATTACATCATTTGTCATAAGTATTTTCTCTCCTTCTATTCGCTTCCTTCTAAGAATATATTCGCAAACAATACGAATTTTTCTCTTCCATTCTGGCACAATTGACGGAGATGAAATGAGAAAAAACATGTTATATTGATTTTTACGTTTCATAGTTCACCACACGAGAATTGTCTTATTCCTGAGAGAGTAATGACATCATTCATTCCTTCATGTAATAACATTATGTCTCATGATTTTCATTGACATGGTCAGGGTTCATAGACCAAGCACATATATATATTCAATGGCTCACATATCCAAGATAAGCATCTATAGTTAAATCTGAAGATTTATTTCTTCAATTGATTGATTAAACGGGTGAGATAATTTTGATGATACGTAAGAATATGAAGAAGGTTGTGAGTGTTCTTTTTTATGTGGGGTGTGGCTTTAAAAGGAAAAAGCGAATTAACAATGATTTTTCAAAATCAGAAGGCCGAATAAACAATAAATAAATAGATAAATAAATTAAATACATAAATCAAATTTCTTTTTTATATAGCTTCTTCAATTATTATAGTCCTTTTGTTTTGTTTTTGACGTTCTTTTAAGTACTTTTTTAATTCTAATACGAAAGAATCTAATTTATATAGAGTTATGAAAGAACAAAAATTATAAACACTTTTTTTGGAGTATTTTTTGTGTAAGAAAGATAAGCTTTAAATTTTAAGGACCCCCCCCCCCCTCAGAAACCAACTTTGTTATTTTTCATCCGATTTCAACCAAAATTTCAGAGAATGTTAATCTTGGCTAGAATAGATTATGGTTAAAATATCTCCCAAAATCTGCGAGCCATTCACGAGTTATAGTCAATTCATTGATCAAAAATGCCCTTTACACGGGCAAGGTTTTCAATATGAGGATTCGAGGTAAGCATGTCGGGATGGTTTTTAAATTGTAAAGTACACTTGGAACTAGATCCTAATAGAGCCCGATTTTTTAATTTCCCTTTGTTTGCTTTTAAAAAAACCTTTCCCAAAAATTCTCAAATTCGTGGCCAAAAAATCGCTAACTAAACTCAAAGATCTAAGTTTTGTATTTCAACGAAGGAGAAATTCAAAAATCGGGCTCTATTTGGATCTAGCCCCAAGTGTCTGCTCTATAACAAAAAAGCATTACCACTTTTATATTGAGTCGTTATTGAGTAAGGCTTGCCCGCGTACACAGTATACTCGAAAAAATGGATTTTCAGAAAAGCGGAAAACAAATTTTTAAAAACCTTATTTTTTTCAATATGAAGGTTCAGAAAATCGTATGTAATATCCTTAAATCTCATCATAAAATCAATCAACTATAGTACATTCCAGAGTAGACACTTTGCTCTATCTAACTAGTTATAAATCACAAAATCGA